TTAACAGCAGGTTTTTCAAAAATTGCTAAAGCCATGTTGAACCAGACAAAGATGTGTATTAAATAATTTAAGTAGAATGTATAGTAGAAGTTATAATACCTGAAAGAAAATATATTAAGTTGTTTGAATTTGTGGCTTATGCATACTAAGTAGTGTACGGAGTAATTAGTAAACTAAGTAAGCCCTCTGTAGTATATTATAGGCCTACCACTGTTTTATTAATAGTACTAGAGTACATCTCAAAATCAAACTTGAATCTTACTTCACTTGTTTTGGTTTCAATTCAAAAACGCCATGCCTTCCAAATCTTACTTCGTTTATTAACGTGGCTGCCGTCACAAGTTTCTGGTTGGAAACAAGAAATTATTGTGTTTGATGGAGTGAAATACACGGTTTTGTGTTCCAGGGATATGTGCATGATAATGTGTGCCTATAGAATATTACATTTACGCCATTGCCCTTTAGCTTCAGTTCAGTGCAAAATTAACAAGTTACGTCGAAATGAGATCTGACTACCTTAAAGCCTAGTTTTCGCTATCATATATCTATTAAAAACCGCGTTACTTTTTTCTGAATACTTTCATTAGAAACAAATACCACAGTTTTTAATGGATATTTTTAGGTTTAACTTGTTTCAAGGACAACTATTGCCGCAAGAAACATCAGATTTGGTACAAACATCAGACCGGCAACTGGGACAGAAAAAAAAAATTAAAAGAAACTTTCTTCTGCCTTCGTAAGCCTCAGGAGAAAACAACGCAATCCTTATCCCGTTGAGCAGTAAACAAAAAATTCCATATTTCACAAACAAAAAGTGAAACTAGCATGCTTCATTCCAAAATTCCGCCTTATCCCCCAAAAGCTTTTGCTTGCGTTGAAGGACAACACCTTCTATATAAGAAACTTAAAACGTATTTCTTTCTGCATCATAAAATTACTGATACATCATAGAATAATATATGTCGCAATATTACCCTATTTAATTAGCATAATTAGCAAGGTTTACCGTTTCTTTAGAAAACGTAGTCGCATTTTCCTCATCACGTTCGTTCAACCCTAATGAAACATTTCCCGTCGATATATTAAATGTGACAGGATTTCTTGAAGAGCCAGACTGTTCATTGTAACTTATGTCCATTGCTGTTGCAATACTCCAGCCTACGTATTGGAAAATTCGTATATAACTTACTGGTATCTCTTTGGGATTTTAAGGGTCCTGTGAAGAAGGAAAGTGTATAAAATATAAATCGTAAACTAACTCTGCCAACCCTATAGAGGCAGGAAATTATCACAGAATACGGCTGAAGGGTTTTGTAGATGGAAATCTTGAGCGTAAGTATATACAATTTTTAGAGCTCGACAACTGGCCTCTGTAGCTCAGTTTGTTAGAGAGCTGCACTGGAATCGCAGGGCCGCAGGTTCGACTTCTGCCAGAGGAACTATAGTTGCATTTTATTTTTCACAGCTGCTCCTGGTTAGATCTGAAATTGTATATAATCTCTACATTTTCATCGAAAAAAACCTTTCAACTGTTAGTTCTCAGTCGTGCGAGATGCCCCAAAATCACAGAATTGACGAATTACGAAATGTTCAATCAATAAGAACCTTCTTAATAGCCATTGGCATTTGTTTATTTAACTGTATTTTACTCTATATTACAAGGTGAATTTTGTTTATTTGACTTATTGTTTCAAAAAGTAAACAGTGTACGATCAGGCTGCATGCCAGTGCTGTTATATACTCTTCTCGCAGTGTAATTTTATGTGTTCGCATTGACAAAGTTAATTAAAACATTCAGGGGCCGGTTGTATATAAACCTATGAAGTTATGAATTACTTTTTAACTATACCCATTTCGTATATATACCGGGTGGCGCAAAAAAAAGTATAACTGTTTGATTACATATAGCTCAAAGACCATAAGCAGTAGAACCCAAAATCGAGTTTCATTGCATCCAGCGATGTCTAACTTAAATTTTGGTATATTCGACAGGCATTTTCGTCCAAGATTGACTGAGATATGAGTGTTTAAACTTTTGTTAGCAAATTTGAAACGGTCACAAATTAGCTAAAAACGGCCTATTAAACTGATTTTTAGCTAATTTGTGACCGTTTCAAAATTGTTAACAAAAGTTTAAACTCTTATATCTCAGTTAATCTTGGACGAATATGCCTGTCAAATATACCAAAATTTAAGTTAGATATCGCTGGATGCAATTAAACTCGATTTATGGTTCTACTGCTTATTGTTTCTGAGTTACAAGTAATCAAACAGTTGTACTTTTTTTTGCGCCACCAGGTAGTTAAATGGTAGTTAACTCTAAAATCCCTGACCACGATTGGTTAACTTTCGCACTAACTGCATGTAGTTAACTTTAACTACTTTTTTATACAACTGGTCCTATGTATATGTATACAGTATGTATATGTATATGTATATGTATACTTTTGTTTAATTTTGCGTGATTTATTTCAGATTTATTTTAATTTTGGGTGAGGTAATAGGAACTCTACATCAACTACATGCGTCTGGGATCTCTCGTTTGTGGCTACTTATAAGCATTATTTGTCTAATGGATTTCTTATATCTTCAACGGGGTCCGCAAAGCAGACCATGTCGTGTAATATTGTATATTAGGTGCACGCATGTATATAACGCGTGTGCTGTTTTGTGTCTTTTGTATATGTCAATCCGTTGAAGAAGTCCCCTACACGCTACAGTTGATAGTATACTTTTACTTTTTACTTCAAGTATTTTTTAAGGATATACTTTGTACTTTTGACTTAAGTACGTTTTGCTTCCAGTACTTTTTACTCTTACTCAAGTCGTTTTATTGTTAATTACTTCTACTGAGTACTGTACTTTAATTTACTCGAGTACAAATTCAAAGTAATTTAGGCACCACTGTTGATTATTTTTATTCTGGCTAAAAGAATGCATTTATGTGCAAAAGTATTAACTAATATGAGTTTACTCATCAGGAAAAGCATGTCTTTGAGCTTGAATGCACCGTTGTGCTCTTTGGATCATTTCTTGATCCATAGATTCGCAAAACCATGAGATTGCCTCACGCAATTGTCTCAGATCCTTGGCTGCTGAATACTATTTGTTTTTATTCCTAAGAATCAATCTTTAATTAAGTGTAATTTTTATTTTTAAAAGTAAATTTGCAAGGGAATAACCTAAAATTAAAGATAAAATTACTGAAGTTAAAACGATTCCATGTAAAGTGACAATTGCTTTCAATTTACTTTGATGCGGCGACTCTGATTTGTCGTTTCTTCGCCAATTTCTAAAACTCATTGCAACTTCAAACACTTGTATTTCCGTCAGTATCGCACGCAAAATTAAATGTTATTTATCAAAATCTAAGTTAAACCTTTGTGAATACAATGGTTTTTATTTTAATGAAATAGCTTCTATATGTTTTACGCTACATGAAATAGCAACTAGAGTAAAATAGCGTTTATAAATGCATAGTTTACATGTAATAACAATTCGATTTTTCTTAGCCTGCAGTGACATCTGTGCATGGCACCACGTATACTGTCGTATTCAAGTTCTTGTTAAACGTACAAGTTTATGAGTTCTTAATAAAAGAGAGAGTATTAAGTAAACTTACGATAAATGATTTTTTACTCCACTTTCACTTTCAGTATAAGGAATTACAAATTTGAACTTGTCTTCAACTTTACGTTAGGCAAAAACATTTTTTCATGCCACTTACTTTCAACCAATGGGGATGTATCACGTGATAGTTTGATCGTCGAGTAACGTAGATAGGAGAGTTGCTGTTTGAATCTTTTGCGGTAACGTTTTGATGAGTGAAAAAGGAGTTTAGGAAAGCACTAGTCAATATGTTTGTAGACAATAATACACCATGGTGCACATTCTAGCATGCCGAGACTCAATCAACCGTTCTATGCATGCAGAATAAATTTAATCTTAGTTTACAGCAACCAATGTTTTTATCATTATACTATTTTCGTCTTTTTACTGTTTTCTTCGATCGTAATAAAGTGATTCTTAAGCAGTGAAAATTGAGTGCCCAATTAAGCTGTAATTGCAGACAAGTCAAATTCTTATATTGGTTAAGTATTGTTTCCAAGACCAAGTGCGCGTAGGCGTTCGTTATGGCATACTTGCATGCATGTGAATTTTATAGTATATATAATATAGCCTACACTTCTTCTGCAATTGCAGATTGTACAACTTTTATGGTTTCATAGTAAAGTATGTATTGTATGAATAGACAACTTGCATGTTAGACAAATTTTTGATCTAGCCGATCTAGACAAAAAAAAAGTAAATTCCCGATAAGAACTTATTAAAATTAGTAAAAGTGCAAAATTTGGTTGCGAAATGTTGTAAAGCTTGGAAAATATAGCTTTGTAAAGTTTGCATATTTTCAGTATATTTGTATTACGTGCGGAAATTGTTACCATTTTTGAGCCGAAAATGGTAACAATTTCAGCTCGTAATACAAATATACTGAAAATATGAAACTTTACAAAGCTATATTTTCCAAGCTTTACAACATTTCGCAACCAAATTTTGCACTTTTACTAATTTTAGTATATTCTTTTCAGCTGTGGTGTTTGATTCCCTTTTCTCTGCTTAGATTAAAATTTAGTCTAACATGCAAGTTGTCCATTCGTAAGCGTAGCATCCCATAAATCACATTGTCAGTTAAAATTCAATGAATGAATTGAAAGAGATGTTATAATGGCGTCTCATTTGACACTTCCTGGATGTTGCTTGAAATTGAGGGAAGTGCCTATTGTCAAAGTGCTCCAAGTCATATCTGACAATTGACATGTATATTATTTTACTCTCTTGCACTTTTTTACCCTCATATTTTGACTATTGGGTATTCAATGATTTATGATTCTTGTCCCTCTTAACTGTATCACTTATGCTCACTAACTGCCCATTCCAGTAACTTTTGCTAAACCACGATACAAGACAAAATGAGTAGAAAAAAGATTTTACTGAACTTAAAAACATTGCATCGTAAAAGACAAGTGATAAATTGCTAAATTACACAGACACACGCAGTTCATTGACATCTTAATTTACAAACGCAAGTGATGTAGTTCATTAAATACATAATGCTTCTTGATTCAATTGATTAAATGATGAAAACTATCTGAATTATGTTTTTGAAATTAGTTGCATTGCTCCTCATAATTTACTCAATTTACACGTGTAACTGTTTTGTACATAATAATAAAATATTTTATTTTCGTGAATGCCGTTAAAAACAAAATTACCGGACAGAATTACCGACAGAGTGGGACATGATTATCAACTTTTATTATATGCACAAGGTCTGGATATGAGGTGTTCTGCAATTTGATTGGTTCTCTACTAGCAGGATATTAGCTCATATCACTGAGCTATACTATATTATAGCTCAGTGGCTCATATCCTGCTAGTAGAGAAAAACAAAATGGCGGCTCAAACTGAATTTCCGACATTTTGCGAACGAGAAAACGGCAAGTTATTCGCTTTTAATAACCTTTACAGGATTAAAAACACAATGAAAAACTCCCACAAATTGTTTACAGGTTAGCAAATGAATTTTTAAAATTTAAAATGGTTAAAAATATATATTTTTGAAAAAATAATCGGCCGAAAGAGCGACGATAAAAGTTACATAAACAAAATAGAAAAATATTGAAAATATCCGAAAAGCAAAGTCTGTGAATTCAGACCTTGTGTATATAATAAAACAGTTATTCCACTCACTCTCGTCGAATATGAGCGATAGCCGATTTGGCGCTACGCGCCTCATCGGCTATCAGCTCATATTCGACTCGAGTTCGTAGAATAACTGTTAAATAGCTTGGTTTTACTAAGCACTATCGTGCAGCAGATGGTGTCAACCTGCAGTTATTAAAGTGAGAAAATAAATTTTAAACTACGTTTACACTATACCGGATAGTTTTCCATAGCGGCGCGAAAAAAACACTTATCCGATACGGAATGTCGAACTTTCAGAAGCTCAGCGAAACAACATCTCCGCTACGGAAAGCTATCTGGTATACAGTAAAACCCCGCATAAAAGAACCAGTGAATTTTGACTTCAGGCTGAAGTGGTGCTTATATAACGGGTACTTAAAAAGAAATCAGGCTGAAGTGGTTCATAACTGGTTCTTATTTCCAGTCAAAAACAATTGTTCCTGGTTTAGAGTTTTAAACCTCTTATTGTATGAAACTAGTAAATGAACTGTAATTTAATTATTTTGATAAAATAAATGCATGCATGATGTGGCTGAAAGATATAATTCCTGCTAGCAAGATTACAGTATTTTGTTTTCTTCCTAGTACCTGCTTACTAATTCAGCTCTAAAAGTTTAATAAGGTTTTTTAAGAACCAGTTTCATTTGTCAGCCCGAAGTGGTTCTTGTATTTTGGGTGCTTAATTGCCCAAATTTCAGGCTGGTGGTTCTTAACCTACTGGTTCTTTTATGCGGGGTTTTACTGTAGTGTAAGCCTTAATTATTTTCATTATACAGGGTGTCCCCAAAAAAGTGACACTATAGAAATTATCTCATTGTTCTTAAGCCGCGCGTGATTACACGCCTGGGAATTTAATGAACTTGTATTTACATTTAAGCATTTTAAAACGTTTTCGCTTTGTCCAAATATTTTAACGCCCGAGTCAAGCAAAACGATTACACTAATAAACGGTTTGCTTTTTTATTTTAAATTCCAGAAGCAGAAGTTTATGCACCTGTGGGATCAACTTAGTGCTAGGGCATTCAAATTATAACAATAGGATAATTTCCATAGTGTCACTTTTTTGGGGGACACCCTGTATATAGTAGTCTGATACTTTGAACCAAATAAATAGAATCTAGATGTTTAGTCTTCTGAAGTTGACCACATCTGCTGTATTGACATTTTCTGATGTCTCGGGTTTTATCCAATGGTATCAAAAGTCATTTTCTTCCAGTCCACTTCCACTGGTTCAAGTTCTTCGATTTCATTCAAGGTTTGAGGGCCCATGTCTTCAGATCCAATCTCGTCCTCAAACATTTGTTGAAGTAAATTTTCTGCAGTCTTTATCTGATTTTCCATCAAACGATATCGTTTCTCTTGGTTCATAGCGTATTCTTGCACTCTGATCTGGCTTGGCGTTCGCTGAAGGTCGCCATTGGCTGCTTCTAGGTCTACACTTAGAGTCGTTCCTGTACGACTTCGTTCTGTGATTGGTGTCCTGAAATAGAAATGTGCATGGTTTAGAGAAGCGAGAATGCGATGGTTCGTAGTTGTAGAGAAAAAGAAGATCCAGTCAGGTTAGCATGATGACACAAAATTGAGGGCAAACAACCGTTGGAAACAGAGGATGAGATGGAGATAATTACCAAACGAGACCGGAGGGTGATGATTTAGAAGATGGTCATGATGGTTTGGTGGTAATGATGATATGGTGATGGTACAATGGTGATTGTGATGAGGGATGGTGATAATGAAACAGACCTTGATCGTTTCGTAATGGTAAATACGTGTTCATGTCTTGTTTCGGGCTTCAATCCAAATCAAAACAAAGATGATGGCGGTGGTTGTGATGGTAACAAAACTAGAGGAAGAAGATGCTCAATATCGAGTGTAGAGGAAGGTCCAGTCAAGTTAGTAAAGAGACACCTAAAAGAAGGACTTGGGAGATAAAGGATGAGATGGAGAAACATTGTGGGAAGGTACGAAATCTAAGAGAAGAGGATGCCCAGAATAGAATGTAGATGAAGATTCAGTCAAGTGAGGAAAAATACACCAAAAGAAGGACGATAGAGGTGTGCATCGGATCGGATTGGACGTTTATAATCCGACAATTGGCTAATGTTTAAAATCCGATCCGATCCGAAATTGTCTAATCCGAATCCGATCCGAGTTGTAATAAAGTATTCCAATCCGATCCGAAGAATTCTTTAATAAAATAAATTTTTCATTCACGTTGAAATGTTTAACTAAATCAATAGAAAAACAAGAAACACATGTTAAGAAACTGACAAAGTGACGTCCAATTGAAGTATCAAACGAAAAATGCGACAATCGCGATAATGCTTTGATAAATGCATGGATAATTAATTCTTGCAATAATACGTGGATAATTATTATTTCGAATATCGTGGATTATTTCGAATATCGAAGAGATATTGTGTGAAAGTCTGAAAGACATAAGGGTACTCAGGAGGAAGTCAAGAGGAGGAAGCAAGAGGATCCCTAAAAATAGAGTGTATGACATGGCGTCAACATCCGACCGTATTAGTGATTAAGATGAAGAAAAAATTTAAGTGAAGTAAAGTAGACTTAGAGTAAGAAAACAAAGCAATACAAAAGCAAAAGTATTGTGAAAGTGAATTAAAGGGAAGTGGAATGAAATAAGTAAATCGACAACAACGCAAAACAAAGCTAAATAGAGAAAAGGAAGAATTTTTACTTACATTCCAATGCCAACTCCTTTTTCTTGAATAACTTTCTCAAGTTCAGATTCAAATTTTCCTTGAGAAAATGTGTACTGGAGCATGAATGCTTCGATGATAAACGCCACAAATATGCTGCAAAAATAATGTATTATAATATTACAGAAGAAAAAATATTGACAGGACGATTAGCGAGCGATTGTTCGGTCAAAATCAATTATACAGTCACGTACTTTAAAACAAGTATAACGCAAGTGAGATGAAACGAGACAAAGTATAGTCTAGCGGCCTTGCTAGTCACCAACACAAAACCTTGAGTTAAAACTGTACAATGTTGATTAAGGAATCAAAACAAACCTCACAAAAACGGCTCGGGGTTGAGATAAAATTTGATGGCACAATAGTCAGTGCATCTGCCCTCCATCTCTGTGACTGGGGTTTGATTCTTACAATATGCACTTGTCTGATTATAATTTTGCCTCAATCACTTGTGAGTTAAATAACACCGGACCAATTGGGGACCTCAAGGATGTCATTACTGGACCTCAAGGAAAAACAACTTAAAACTGATAGAAATCAAAGGATACTGTGCCATTGGTTGACAACCATCAAGTCGAATAAAATTTTTAGAGATTTCAAAATATTGTTAAAATTATCTCCACAATAATGTTCGTTATAAAATTCAGAATTCTTTAACTTCACATCTCCACAGAATAACTCAGTCGCATTCGTGGTGGCATTTGGATAGCCAAGCATTCTGATTCTGCCTTGGAATAATTCCATGCCCAGTATTGCATACATATAAAACAAGATCTAAACGAAAGTTGAAGTTGATTGAAGACAGAAAAAGAAAGAAACAAACAATGTTTTTAAAATCATCTGGATCTCTTACAAACACAATTCCTCCATATATGGCAATGGATGGCCCTATCTGCATAACCGTGTTCACCACAACTTTGAACCTACAAATTTGAAAAATAATATTGTCGATTTTTTCTTGTCTAACAATTCCAAATTGTCTGATCTTATCAATGCTTTTCTCTGTGCTGTTGGAAGAGTTTCTATTTAATTTCTTTCCAAGAAATAATGCAGATAGTCTTGCTTTTCACGCTTGCCTTTCAAGACTTTCGGACTCGGGTTCAGTCCTCGGTTGGACTTCTGCTCAAGGTCTTAATATAAAACTGTGGGGAAAAAGCTACCTTAAAAATCGTAGGTACCTCGGACCCCCTATCTATTGAGCAACAGCCTGTGTTGGGAAATTCGCTCATCAATGAGTGAGAAGCTCAATAAACCAAACTAAATTTAGTTAATTGATCTTTATTCTTTATCCATTGTCCATCAAGAATTAGGTCTAGGAGTGTTCTCACCATTGCAAGTATTTAAAATGTTCATTACCTTTCAATTGACCCCATAACTTTAATCATTCGTAAGACTCGAAGAATCATGAGAAAGTCCACTGCAGCTTGACTTGCTGTCACTAAAGAGAAAAAGAGTCTCATCACTCTCATGTCACTATCTATAAAACGACGTCTACACAATAGATCATATTTGTTATGTCACATTTCCATTCGATGATTAGACTGATTGCAGACATACATTGAATTCATTTATGCTGCTTTTTATGGCGTATACCTGAATCAGTAGACAACTCGACAATAAACGCTATGGTTGCACCTCCGATGATAAAAAAATCAAATCTATAATAGATGAATAATTAAGAAACAACGTTCATGCAAGACAACTGAACGAAATTACCTTTAGCTAATCTACATCAAAATACAAAACAACGATAACTCCGAGAAGGAACATTTTTAATATAGTTTTAACTTTCGACTATGTTTTAGTCGTCATAGTCGAAAGCTAGAACTATATTAATTAAAAATGTTCCTTTTCAGAGTTGTTGTTGTTTTGTATTTTTTTAAAATACTCAGTGGTTCCCGTAATTTCTAATCTATATCTTTGAGATCTTACAGTATTGATCCAGCGTTGTTGATGCGGGAGGAAATAAAAAATCTGTGTCGAGCCGGAGGTTGGAACCTTAAGCCTTGGGCAAACTAGGAAACAGTGTGATTCGCCATGTTTCCTCAAGTGTTTCTGTGTTTGCCCACCCGTGGAAACATCTTTGCAGAAACACAATTTGCTTCCTGAGAAGCAGAAATGTTTCCTATCAAATTCAGAAACATTTCATGTTTCCCAAGTGCGATTTTTGTTGCGGAAACATTGTTTCCTAGTGTTTGCCCACCTTGGTAAACATGGCGAAACATTGGCAGGAAACAATGTTTCCGCAACAATGTTTCCTAGTTTGCCCAAGGCTTTAGAGGCACGTTATGTTTGCACTAACCATTCTGCCATCAACATGGCAATATTTAGTGAAACAAAAAGGACGTATATACATGGACTTACGTGTTCCAGAAGTTCACGAAGAACTCTCTGCAGCCATATGTGTAGAATTTTAAAAAGAGCTCAATGTTGAAAAGCAAGAGAAATGCGGCCTCCGCCATCTCCAGGGATAGTGCGATGAAAACAGCGTTCACAAATATAACCACGTCAAAAAAGTAGAGAAAATATCTAAAAACAAAGAATGGAAAATTTTCTACATTATTCTTCTCACGGACAATCTCCAGATAGTGAAAGACAACCTCCATTTTAATCCGGTAGTCGGCGTACTGATACTAGATTTTGATGAGAACACATTTGAGAAACACGGAAATTTTCAAATTGTTGCGGCAAAAGTGGTTTGTAGGTTGTGCATGGTTTCAATCCTTAATTCATTCCTTTCTAACATTCCTTCTACCCTATTGTTCCTCCCATGTACCTGTGGCAAACCATTCGTCTAATCTTCACACTTAACCAGGAAAAATAAATCGTAGGACAGATCTTTTCAAACAGATGAACCTCTTCTTTGACTTCTATCACTCGAGTGTTGAGCAGTTCTGACACTTTAGTGAAATCTTTAACTTCTGCAAAATATTTGTCGAAAGATGATTGAGAAACTTTGTATATAATACTATGGAAAACACTTTCATTTCCCTTGGGACGAAAGGAATGACTAGGGCTTGTGAGAGAGAGATGACATAGATACTGTATTGAAGAGAAGTTACCCGATTCCTGTTTACGATATACAGAAGAGAGAAATAACAATAACATGCTAATTCCAGGGAAACAAAAAAGGCTACAGAAAAGGTGGGAAGATATAGGATGAACGTGAGGTAATGAAACTCAGAAAGATGACACGTAAGAATATTAAGAACAGAAATCAATGGTGACGAATGCTCCTTTTCAGGCCAATTCCGTAGAAGAAACTGTTCCAAAGAAGAAGAATTTGTGGAACATGGGCATATTCAATCATTGAATCACAAAATTTGTAATTAAACAGGAGTTTACTTATATAATCGTTGTTCTCTCGATCCAAAACATGCCATAACAAGCTGACTTTTCCTGGACTGTAACTTGGGCAAACCACTTGAAGAAGAGATTTCCATCTTTCAAATCGCAACACCCATTCATTGTTCAACTTTTCACAGATTAAATCAAACGCTAATTTCAATTGTCGTCTCTTGCGGTAGACTGACTTACGAACTTCATTCTGTTGGGAGGGTGAAAATGAAAATATAAGCGTGTCTCTAACGGGTTCACTGGATGAAAATATACATGCGTCTCTGACGGGTTCATTTTTTACTGACAACTAACAAAATTCCTTAGAGGTCATCATCAACTTTGAGCTGGTTCAAATTTTGATGAGAGTCGATGAGAGTTTTGTTCGTTTTACCGATAACTCCAATCAACTCTCATACAACTCTTCGTCTCGTTTGACTGGACATGAGAGTTGAGAAAACTACAACGAAAACCCCCCAATAAAACCCAGTATTGAAGCGGTGCAAATAAGGCATCACTAACGTAGAGTCATTAGAAATAGATAATGAAATTTATGATCGTTTTACCTTTAAATGTTTTCTGTAGTTAGCATAGACAACAGCCAATAAAATACTGAGAAATATATACATACATATGACCAGAAAAACGAGGAAAAATAACGCGAACCAGTTGTTGCTGTCATATGCAGGAATCCTAAGTAACATAAGCAAAAATAATATAGTAATTGAGATTTAAATAAACAATCGTGTTTACCAGTCTGTTGTTGTCCAGGAGATATAAGAAAGTATAGCTTACCCTACGTCAGGGCTGTTTGCTGTTGTGGTAAAAATATAAAGTTGGTAGTAAGACTCGAGAAAGTTGTGGAAGTAAGGATTGCCATCAATATCTTTAAGATTTCTAAAACAATTGAGAATCATTAAGAAGTATAATTAAGAACAATTATTAACAATTATGAAAAATTAAGAAATACATGCACGTCGCAATATGATCGCTATACAATATATTGTGCTCATCACTACAAGCAATAGACCCTTTGCATAACGTTGCAGTCAGAACAATGAATGAGGTGGAGAACAGTGGGATTTGCAAAACAAGACAATGGAACAATCTGATCACTGTATTGTGACTGGATGGCGCTTTCAGATAAGGATACACACTAATGTTTGATTAAACGTCACCTATTTTCAAAGAGTTTTGTGGCGAGCAAGGCAAACAACCCAATGGCAAAAAGAAGCAAAACCAGCACGTTCACAACACCAACTATTGTTCTTCTGATGTTTCTAAATGCTCGACGAATCTGATAAAATAACATTTGACTTTGTTACACACAAGGGACTATATCACTATTGATGTATCAGTTCAAAAATGTTCTTCCCAGATGTCTAGTAAAAGATCATGCCTTACTTATGGCAAGTCTGTCAACAAGTTGTAACAACTTGTTAACAGTTGTAACAACCTTGCTGATACAAATTGTTACAACCTTGTGTCGTCAACCTTGTAACAATCTTGTTATATCATGACTGTATCAGACTTAAGTTCTTTGTGGGTTTGCATGGCGATAAAACATATACAATATTACTGTTTGTGGAAACACCACGTAAATTTATTACTGCAAAGCATTCGATCCGTGAGCCCGGATCTTCAGTGCTAATAATATTAGCAGTGTTAGCACTGATGAAGATCCGGGCTTACGGTCGAAAGCTTTGCAGTAATAAATTTACGTAGAACAACCCTGTAACAAGTCTGATAATGCCTCCAGCTTGTTACAAGGAAGCATAATTAAATTTCTCATTCTCATGGGACTAAGGCAAAATTATAATCTCAGACAACTGGAATCAAACCCACATTTTCTTACCTGTCGTCCTTCAAGATTTACTATAAAAACTGGACGAAGTATTCTTGACCAACGTAAAGCTTTCGATTCAAGACCATTTTCCATGAAAATAGAATACAACAACATATCCAGAAACGTTATCTGGAAAATATTTGTTAAAACTTGCAAAAGTTACATTCTTTTTTGCACGCTTGCATCCTTCAGTGAACAGGCTACGCATTTTTGTAAAAACACTTATTCGTGTCCATATTGCTTTCAAGCAAAATTCGCAAATATACAAAATCATGAGAAAAAGTTTACTAAGTTAAATGCACGATTTTGTACCAGATATACAAACTCCTTCATGGTCATGATTTCCTTTCTGTTTTCGTCATGAATTAATGAGTTATTAATGAGGTTTACAAATACACTTACAATTATAGTAGCTGTCAGAATAATATTTTTCTTATCATTCCAAAAGCAACCATCAGGCGCTATATACCATCTGTGAAACAGGTATAATGCAAATACAAATATACAAACATACTCCATTATCATTGTAGCCTAGAAAAAAACAGAGTTTTAGATCAGTTTAACTAAAAAAGAATACCTATAATACGAATAATTGAGTGCTTACCCAATATGGTAGTTCATAGCCACTGACTGCAGGCTTTTCAAAAACTGCTAAAGCCAGATTGAACCAGAGTAAGACGTATATTAAATAATTTATGTAGAATGTGTAGTAGGAGTTATATAACCTGAAAGAAAATATATGAGGTTATTTGAGTTTGTTGCTTACACACGTAAAAACCTCACAACATGTCAACAAGATGTGTTCACAACAGGCTTGTAGCAAGCTTGTCAATAAGTTGTAACAATGCTGTTATTGTCACTCGATCACAACTTGTTGACAAATTGTTGAATTACAGGATGATAACAAGTTGTTGGAACATTAAAGTGCACCTAACCTCAATTATTTTTATTATCTCATTTTTAAGAACTTCTGAAATGATGTAATAACTTATTTTGAAGATTTTCGTTTGCTCACATTGTTTCTGAGATATTTCAGTTTGTTGGTTGCAAATATCCGGAATTTACGTCACAAATGCATAATGACTTAAAGTAAAAGCTTGTATATCGTTTTCACTATCGAATTTAATTCATTAAAATGAAGTTTGGAGTTGTGAGAGGATTACATATACCTATGTAAAATACCATTTAGCCTTTTTATTTTATGATATTTAACTGTACCTTACATTCTTAGATCAGTCATTATTCATATGTGACGTAAATTCCGCCATTCCGGACATTTGCATATCTCAGAGACAAAGTGTGCAAACGAAAATCTTCAAAATAAGTTACAATATCATTTCAAAGATTCTTAGGAATGGGATGATAAAAAGAATCGAGGTTAGGTGCACTTTAACTTGAAACAAGTCTCTTGAGCTCAAAAACCTTATAGCAAGTTGTCAACAAGCCGTTGACAACTTGTCAACAAGCTGGGAACAAGCAGTGCGACTTAACAAGTTGTTGGAACAGCATTGCTACAACTTTTTACGTGTGTAGACGTAATACTCGAGTAATTAGTAGTTAGTCATTAGTACATCTCAAAATCAAACGTGAATCTTACTTCACTTCTTTTGGTGTAAGTTTGAAAACGCCATGCCTTCCATATCTTGCTTCGTTTATTAACGTGGCTGCCATCACAAGTTTCTGGTTGGAAAGGAGAAATTAATGTGTTTGATGGGCTAAAAAAATAGTTCAAAAGAAACTCTCTTCTGCTTTCGTAAGCCTCGCGGGGCTCAGGGGAAAACCATGCATTGTTTTCTTGTTCATGTTATAATTGTTTTAATCAAACCATATGCATGCATGCATAGTGAAAATTAAATTTAAGTTTCCGGTCAGTAATCCAGACATCCAGTTGAATCAAATGTCTAGTTAGACATGTACGCTCCTCTTTCAGACGAAAGTATTTGTTAGATTCTCAGACTGTAATCGTACACTATTTGTAATGAGTGACTGAATTCGTTGGTGAAAGGTATATTTGTATACCAAAGGATTAATAGATTAAGCAAGCCTTTGCTTGCGCAAGCCTTAGACAAGTACTGTCTAATAAATTTGAAACCTATATTTCTCAGCAACATAAATCTCACAGAAAAACTCTATTTATCAAAACTTAAACCACTGATACACCATACAATAATATTATCGCAATATCACGCTATCTAATTAGCATAATGAGCAGCGAAATAAGTGCGTGTATAAATTATATATGTTAGAATTGTACCGTGTGTACAGCAAGCGTAGTCGCATTTTCTTCATCACATTCGTCTAGTCCTGTCGAAATATTGTCCGCCGATTTGTCAAATGTGACAGATTTAGATTTTCCTGAAGAAACAATAAGTTCAATATCGTCTTTGAAATCCATGTTGAAATACCCGGCCAAGCCTGTGTTTTGGAAACTGCCTGATTGCAGGTTGCACATTGCCGTCATTTGCATCTCAGGATGAACAGCTGCAGATGACGTTCATAACAGGAATTTGACAGTTTTAATCTGGTCAGCCAATCACGTTGATTGTCTGGGTTCATTAAAAACTGGACATGTTTCAACCTCGTGCCCAGGCGCCATACCAAGAAGACCCTCAGGGTTGGGCATGTTTCTGCTACTGTTCACCTATCGATGCAAACAACGGTGTGAAGGAAATTACAAAATAGAATTTTTCAAGGAATATTTAAAATTCGAATATGGAAGCATTGAAGGCACGTGCCTAGCACGTGGTACAGAAGCACGTGTTCTATATTTCCAAGATGGCGGCAGAACCAGAAAGCAAGTATTCCAAAGAACAGTTAGAGAGTGAAGAGGTTTCCAAGAAAGACATACTTTCTTTCATTCAGGAAAATGCATCGAAAGCGGTAGGTCTATTCCCGTATTCAGCGCAAATCTTCGCACAATCACAGCTTATTGTTTGGTGTTGTGGTAAAATTGTAAAAACGTATGTTGATCTTTTATAGTCTGTTTTAATAGAATTAATACAATATTTTTCATTGTAGTTCTTAAAAGCGAATAAGCTAAATGGGAAGCTCAACAATGTCGCCAAATCTTTCAAGAAAGACCAAGCAATCGGCTTGTATAACAAAATGTTTGAAACCAAGGTATATTATTAATTCTCAAATGTGTTGAGTGTTCTAGTATAAATACAAGATATGGTAACATTTTGGCCACGCCCATGCCACACCCTATTATTTAACGGCAACTACACAATTGGGCAATTGAACTGTCATTTGCAATTTTGCATTGGACAATGAACAGTCAAAGATCAAAGTATTGTCATTTGAAGGTTTCAGTTAGCCCAGCATTTAATGGCTAGATAAACGTGATTGACTGATCAGCAAGGACGTCAGTACAGGGGGAGGGATTGGGGACTGTATCACCCTCACTTTTTGGACATTTATATTATAATCTATAAAAAGTTATGCCCATTATGCTTGGCATTTTTTCTTCAGAAACGTCCAGTTCGTTTTTGCTGTACAAGAAATTCTTCAATTTTGATTCTTCTACGATATTTTGCATTTACATAGAACATATCATTTCTAACAATCTGATGTTTTTTGTTTTTGAAATTGTTACATTTTTGGCGGGAAAATAATGCGACAAAATTGGCGCCAAAAATTTATATAATAGATACAACTGATTTTCGGTATGAACCTGAAAGAATATATTGTAAGAAACTCAAATCTGAAGTCCGTTTTAAATAATGAATATTCATTACGAAGTTATATCAATTCAAAATACAAGAAATCTGCCATTTTGTTCTATTTTTAGTAACAAAATGGCGAATTTTTGAAATTCAACTAGCTATATCTTCGCCATGAATTGGGCCATTACAAAACAGACTTCACATTTGAGGTTCTTACAGTATGCTCTTTCACATTTATTCAGAAGAAAACCCATATCTACTACATAAATTTTTGGCGCCAATTTTGTCACGTTATTTTCCCGCCAAAAATGTAACAATTTCAAAAACAAAAAACATCAGATTGTTAGAAATGATATATTCTATGCAAAGGCCAAATATCGTAGAAGAAGAATAAAATTGAAGAATTTCTTGTACAGCAAAAACGAACTGGACGTTTCTGCAGAAAAAATGCCAAGCGTGCTTAGATTCAGATTTAAAATGGATTTTCACTCTTGCTGATCAGATTAAAAATCTGTCAAACTCCAATGACAAATATGAGCATTTCATGTGAGAATAAGGATTATTTTTATCTGTAACTGTTCACTTTTAAATGCAAGCAATGTTTGTTTTGGTAAATTTAGATACTTCAGTAAAAAGTAGATAGGAAATACTGGACTTAAGACCGATTTCCACTTGCAAGAAAAATATTGCTGTCAGAATTTTTCGTTCAATTTCTTTTGAATTATTAGCAGTCCAGATAGAACTGGTTTATTCGGGTGGTCACAATTCAAAAGAAGTCAAGTGAAATATTTTGACAATGAGCTTTAAACAGTACAAACTATGCTTCTGGTTTGTAATTCTTGATTGATAAAAATCATTGAATTTTGTAGTCATTTAAAACTGATGCAGACGATGAAGAGGAAGGAACTGTGGCAGAATTAACAAAGAAAACGGCGGCCATGAAAGCGAGCGAAAAAGAAGCTGCTGCTCATGTTGAAGTAAGCTCTTATATAATTATACTGCCCCCTTTCCTACTAAACTATTTTCAGTATCCTGATATCTACAGGTTAGTACCGGTTTTTCCCACCAAGATTTCCGCCACTGGATACCAAACTATGAATGTCTTATATCTTGACTGGGAAATTAGGAAAACTGGGAAGTTAGGCACCCCTGATGATTTTCTAATAGCTTTTGAATACTATGAGTTTGCCATTAGCCTTTCCACATTGACGACTAGCATTTAGAAGTTGTTGAAGGATTATGTGCATTTTAGGTATTAATTAATTAATTGTCCAGTTGTTGACTGTTGAGTCTCCTGTTTTTATCCAGAAGTGGGATACTGGATTCTCAGGGGGGGGGGGGTTACTAAAACTTTGAATCCTGGTATCCCAGTTGGAGAGTGAGAAAATAATTTAAATTTCAGACCCTGTTACTGAAGTGAGATTATAGTCTCATATATTGCAGGAACAAAGCTTGATCAAAGATGGTATCCTGGCATATGGCAACATGCACAAACCACTGTTCCACTAATCTTTCCCCCGCATTATTTCATTTCAGAAACCAAAATATACGAAGAAAATTTTAAAGAAAGCGAGCAAGCCAGACCGTATTCCAAGAAAAGGTGACCTTGTCAGTTGTTTTTACACTGGGAAACTTCAAGATGGAACTGTCTTTGACACAAATCTTGGAAAAGGTGAAATACCAAACATGCTGTATTATTTTTAATGGGTATGTGTGGATTTGTTCTGCCATGACCCATTTACAAATGACTGTATTTGATTCTGCATTCCAGGATCAAAGAAGAGAGGTGGGAGTTATGTTCCATTAAAATTCAAAGTTGGAACTGGACAAGTGATTCGAGGCTGGGATGAAGCTCTCATGACAATGGGATTGGATGAGAAGGCAGAACTTACAATTCAGCCTGAATGGGCTTATGGAAGAAAAGGCCTTCCTGACCACAAGTATCCTTTTTAATTCATCAAATTACTAAACTTTGCCTGGATGCATCCATGCCCAAACAGGCAGCAAAACTGTCCCAGCAGTACCTATGATGTTGCAATTGTAAAACAGGAGAAGCAGTGTTTTACAATGTATTACACTTTATTCCATATTATCCATCACTGATGCATCTAGGATTTACATTCTTGGTTAAGCAATCTTGTATCAAGTGAATTTAAGGGACTTTGTGGGCCCATTTTGAGCCAGGGCCTTGGGGCAAAATGCTTCCACTGCCTCTTTCCCCTCTCGGTAGCATTGCCTGGATGTTCAGTAAGAACCGTATTGGCCCAGTGTTGCAACGGGAGGAAGTGAGAGTACCTGAAGAAAATCTACAGTGTTTGGTATAATCAAACTAAAAGCAACATTCTCAAATACGACTGAGGAGAAATTATGATCAGAAAACTGCATATTGCAGGAATCCAACCTCAGTCACATAAGTGAAAGACACATACCCCTGGTACACTAACCACTGTGCCACTGCCCTAAGTTCTAAATATCCAAAACTCCTTGACTCCAATGCCACAGGATTCCTCAAAATGCAACTTTAATTTTTGAAGTTGAGTTGACTGGTATTGAGTGAAATGTCAATGGATTTTGTCACACTACGGTACTGTATGAGAATTACCATCACAGTAATGTTGTAACCATGTGCCGTAGAACCTGATATCTAACTTACATTTTGTAGATAAACAATTCATTTGAGGAGGTAGTTGACTATTAGTTTGTTCTCTTATGGATTGTGTGAAATTTTGCATCTAGGAAAAAGTTGCGTTTATGTGACTGTGGAATTACATTTATTTTGTTTAAATTATTTTGGATTTCTTTGCTCATCTTTTA